TATATATATATCATTTTGGAAGGGAGAGGAGGTGGAATAGATGTAGATCGTAACTTACCCGCGTAGATACCAAACCCCACGGCAAAGATGTAGGCTCCGGCGTGAAACTGGAACAGCACCAGACCAAAGAAACAGAACATGGACGCCAGGCTGTTCATACCTGGTGACGAGATGTGCGGATCAACGGTCATTGCTAGGACGAATGCGTTTTGCTCTCCTATCAACACTTCAAGATTTTAAAACTCATTAACAGCGCGCATTTTGCTCATTTGACAATGCTAGGACAGGTGCTATTTAGAGGTTATTAAAAAAAACAATAAAGCATAACTTAATTAATCATACTTATTTTTAAATTCTGTCTTCTTTATCTAAAACTTTAAAAGGTATGCAGGAACATGTGCTATGTTAGCTGAACAGGAACATGAACCTGAAATGCCTCCAAGCTGGTAAAAGAAGGGTTTTGTTTCTAGATGATGATATTAACTCCAAAAAAAGCCTTCGAGGAAAACGTTAAGCCGTTTTTATGAGCAGTTGTTGTTTTTTGGTGGGTTTTTTTGGTTTTGTTTGGTTCTGGGGGTTTTGTGTGTAAAGGTTTTTTTGTTTGACTAAAATTACACAAGACTCTCCCTTCCCTACTCTTCTTTTTTCTACAATGATGATGATAAGGAGGAGGAAGAGGAGAAGGAGGGGGAGAGGAGGAGGAGGAGGAGGAGGAGGAGGAAATTGGACTTGGGTCTCCTGCGCGCGATGGTGAAACGTTTATCCACTTATCCAGAAACACTGGTAGGGGAAAGGGGAGAGAGGGGCAGGGAAAGAGAGAGATGGGGGGAGGGGGAGAATGAGAGAGAGAGAGAGAGGGGGGGGGGAGAGAGAGAGTTTGTGTGTTTTTAAGTCCGCGCTTTGTTTTAGTTTTAGTACGAGTTTTACGACACTTGCAACACAATTAGGTTATATAAGTGCCAAAGATTAGAAGTGTTACAAGAGAGTAACAAATACAATAAAAGGAAGGAGGTGAAATAAGGACGATAGATGTATGATAGGAAAGGAGCAAACCACAAAAGAGCACCCGCTTGCCTACCACCGACTGTGTTTGTGTGTGTAAGTGTGTGTGTGTGCGTGCGTGTGTGTATGTGCGCGCTTGTGTGCGCACGTGTGTGTGTGTGCGTGTGTGTGTTTGTGTGTGTGTGTGTGTGTGTGTGTGTGTG